TCACCACTACTAGCGTTGACAGATGCTAAGTATGAGGGTCGAGGTGAATCTGGCCGAGGTCCGACCTACCGGGAAGCTCGGTGGGGGCCGATGCGGACTACTGTCAGCGGCATGATTATCGGGCATAATCGTCGGTCCCGAGATTACCGGGTGTAACCGACGATCTCGAGATTACCGGGTGTAACCGTTGCGAGATTAGCGGGACTACCACCTATAAGTAGAGGACTTCACTCCACGATCAGGTACGATGATTTCTGGCCTCGAACTAAACTGGGAATCCGACATATACTGACTTGATCGTCGGAGTGCTCACCTTTTTGTGCAGGTCCACCCAAGGATTCAGATCGGTCCGGAGGCCGAGTTCGAGCTGCAATCTGGAATACACTGTTGTGCATATCCTTGCATAAACACTCAAGACATTACTTACCTCTTTAAAGATTGGAGATTCTCATCTTTCTAACTATTCATTGTACTTGTTGAGGGAGAAATCTAAGCAAGACACGTGTCAGAATCCGAGAGCGACAGCAAGGCGCAGGACCACATGCGGTTATCACCGTACTCTGTACAAACATACAAACACGTCGCCACCACTGCCGTACTGGGGAGACGTCGAAGACTGCAACCTGAAATTTGCAAGCTGCAAGTTTACAGACCTGCAGATGAAGGCATCACCCACTATCTCTCGAGAACGTCCACCCCTCTGTCAAAACCTCCTACAGCTTGGCCCGCACTTGTACGTCCACAATCGTCGGCCATCCGCGCTTATAAAAGGGAATAATATTCCCACCAATACCAAATAAGTGAAAAACCTGTCACTTAAACTTTAAGGTGTCTACTCCTATTTTCTTACTCTGATCACTAACTTGAGTGTCGGAGTGTATTAGGTGGGACACTACATCAGCGTTGAGTTTTCTGGTTGCAAGCTTATTTACTCCTCGACGAACACTCTCATTCAATGAGACACGTGGACCTCTCCAAAATTCACCATCAATCGTGCTAAAAAGAGGAGTATATATATTAAATATGTAAGGTTACTTTTATTTTGTTAGTTGAACTTTTTAAAATTTTCGTCAAATATACTATATTTAACTCCTTAAAAGTTAGACATTCGAATCACGGTTATTTATCATGTTGAACCGACCAAAATAAGCTTGGATGATTAAATTTATAACTTAAATTTGATAAGTTTTTAAAAAATTATATTTGACTTTAGGTACAAAATATTATTTATATATATTTAAAAGATTGTGTATGGAGAAGGGAAATATTTGAAAGATATGTGTGGGGGCAAGTGGCAACAAGTATATTATTATATTATAATGTCCAAATCAAAATCCAGAGGAGAGAGAAATTGAGTGCATGTATTTGAGTGTTGTGAAATTACGAGGAAGCATTAAATGTAGTTTTCTAACTCACATCTCTCGTTTAATTACCACTATATCCACTAATATTTTCTTTTTTTTTTCTCAAAAATCCCAACCAAAATTATATCCCACCCTTAAATTTCATTGGATTCATTTTGTGTGTTCAAATATATAGTCGAAAATTCGAATTTCCTTTTCTTTTTTAATTTTAAATAAATAAATAAAGTAAGCAACATTTGTATTTTTCATTGAACAAGAGAGTGGGCTTTTTGCAAAATCTTAAAGTTCAGCCCAATCCATACTCTCCCATGGTTTACAACATTAGAATTCTTTCTTTGTCTCTATTGTTTTTTCTATGTTTACCTTTTTTTTTTTTTTATAGAAGTTTTTTCTGTGTGTAATTTAAGTGTTTTACTTCAAACTCTTTATTTGTCACATTAAATTCATGCCCCCAATGCACATGTAAAATGTCTATTATTATAGATAAAGACAGTTTGTTATTGACATTATTGTAATGTTCAAGTCTTTCGATTCTAAATTATTTTTCTATTTCAAAGTTTGACATCGTGATGTCATGCACCTCTGCTTGATACATCTTTACTGAATTTCAAATTAACTTAAATCAAACTTATTTGATGATTAACCACTTAAGAGCATATATGTAAAAGTACATTACAATAATTTATATTAAAACATATTAAGTACACACAATTGAATGGTTGAAGTTGATTTGAGAAAATAAATAAAGCCACTTCGAAAAGTCTGTCTCAGAAAATAGAAAAATCGATATTACGAATGAGAATGGACTTTAAAAAAAGATAAACAATCTAAATGGACTACATATTCTACTTAATTAAACCACCAAAAGCTATATGTTTATTTGTATATTCTTTTGATGACCATCTTTTTTGGCTCATCCACTAGAACCCCATTTTCTATGTTCCTTAAAAGCCCTGCAATTCCTTTTTGATTGCAGTGATTATTCATAGTTAGATACACCTTTTCTTAAAGTTAAACTCATCACATCTCTTTTAAAAGCTAATGTTTTAGAGCCCAAAACAAAATAAAATAAAATAAAAAGCATATCTTTACAACACCCAAAAGCATGCAATGATCTAATTGAGGATTAATAATTATAAAATTGAGGTTTACATTAAACTTTTTCATTATTTAAGGAAAAAAA